TCCCTAAAGTTAAACTTATTTATTGCCAACAACTGGCCTACCAATCTTTCCATTACAAACATGAAAAAAAAATTAACATTACCTTCGTGTAATAATACGTAAATCCCTAAAAAAAATATCAGCAATTCGCGTACATTTTAATTCCCGTTTATACTTTACCTTTGCCCAAATATAATTTATCACTGCTTCAAGATGAGCCTAAACCTTCGGGTTGAACCTTTCATTTTTATTATTTATATATATTTTTTTTAACATTATATCCATCTAAAATCTACTTTTCACTTCCCCCAAACTACCCTCTAAATCGGACATGATCGTTATGGCGCATCACCGTGCCGCCCATTTCCAACTGAATCAAACTCAACCTTGCACCTCTGTTTTCCCCAACGATGCCCCTGGCCCATTTCTTGCCCCTCCCGTCAAACAAACGAGTCCATACTTTTTCTCCAACTCCAAACCTAATCTTTCGGTCCTCCAGAACTCCCTTCTCGTGACTCTCGGCCCTTAGAAAATCTAAGGGAACCCTACTAGTCCGCCTGCCCAAAAACAATTCAGCAGGTGTCACTCCATCCTTATTCCTGGAATTGAGGTAATACAACTGGGCCAAATACGCCCCATTTCCGTGATTACCGGCCTTCCTTATCCAATTCTTAACAATTGCTACCATCCTCTCAGCCTGACCATTTGAGCTGGGATGATAGGGCGGGGTCAAAATGTGTCGAATCCTTGACTCTTTACAAAACTGCTTAAAATTTTCGCTAACAAAGGCAGGTCCTCCATCAGACACAATTGTTTCAGGTAATCCGAACCTGGCCATTAATGCCCTCAATTTCCTTACAACAATTTTCGTGGTATATCCATGTACCTCCTCGTACTCTATCCATTTCGAATACGAATCTACAACTAAAAAATACGACCTTTTATCTAAATCCAAAAAATCAACGTGTAAACGTTCCCACGGTTTTCTCGACCTGGGCCATATCTGACCCACGTCCTTTCGGGGCATAGCCGCACACGAATTACACGGCTCACATTTCTTTGTGATATTTTCAATATCCTTTCCCATACCCGGCCACCAAACATATTCACGAGCCCACGATTTCATATTCCCCTGACCTTGATGTCCAGCATGTAACAAATTTAAAATTTTACCCCGTAATTTGAACGGAATTACGGCTCGATTACTCCTCATTAAACAATCATCCACCACAGACAATTCCTCTTCCACCTTTTTAAAAACTTTACAATCATCTTCCCAAGGCTTTTTCCCCATTACACATAATTTTAAAAAATATTAAATTTAATAAAAATTTTAAAATACATTGCAAAGGAATAGGACTCAACTTAAGATCCTCCCAATTGGTAGGACCCCCTTTGAGCATACACGAAAGCGAACATACCAAGGCCTTCTTAATGTCCCCGCCCTGTCCACCTTCAACTCATATTTTCCATCATCAGACCCTAATCGCGATAAAATATCCGGCAAACAATTTTCTTTGCCACGACGATATCGAATTTCTACATTACCAGCAACAACCACCGTTGCAACCGAGGGGACATCATCATCTCTCGGTTATCTTTTCGAAATAAGTGAATTAACGGCTTGTGATCAGTAAAAATTACAAATTTTTTACCAATCAAATATTCACGACATTTTGTCAACTCGAAAATCACAGCTAAGGCCTCCTGTTCAATCACAGAATATCTCGTCTCCACCTCACGAAAAACACGCGAGAAAAATATAATAGGTCTCTCCAAGCCCTCCACTAAATGCAACAACGCCCCACCAACTCCTTTATTTTTTTAAATTTTTTCTCCGCCCCCCCCCTTCTTCTAGTTTATATTGTAATGGTCCATGTATAAAATATAGTTGTTAAGATGAAATAAAAGGGAAGAATGATGGAAGGGAGCCTGGTTGAGGTTGCAGTAGTGTTGTTGTGTATGAAGTGTTAATTTTTTTTATGAAAATTATTATTTAATTTAAAGATTTTTTTTTTCTCCAAATTATAAAAGTGTTAATTAAGTTTACTTTTAAATGGAAACCGTGTCCCGTTTAGTAGATTTAAGGGAGTTTTACTTACAAGTAACGTTAATCAAAAAGGACAATGGCATGATCCTGGGCTCAAGATCCACTAATGAAAATCAGCCACCTGACTCAGGAATGCGTCGTAAGAGATGTTACAACTGTCAGGGTGAGGGGCATCTGCGGCATCAATGTTCCAGACCTCAAAGGGGAACTCGGGTACCGTTGGAGACCGTTTTTGACAATGCCTGGCAGGGACCAAATGACGGAAAAAGACGTGCGTATCGTGAGCTAGGACCCGGGATGACTTCGGTTTCTCACGGATTCACAGCCAGTACGAGTAGACTTCCGCCGAATGGTCAAGACGGTATTGTGTCGATATCTTCCTCAGGGGGATCTGGCAATTCAGTTGGGAACGATATATTGCAGCGAGCGCTTCGTTGGCCACGCAGGTACAACCGTCAGTGGAATCCGCATTTGGAGAGCCCAGGTCTGGTTCAGATGATTTTTGGGGAAGTGCAATGTCAGCGTAGAAATTTACATTTGGGAAAACTATAATAAGTCAGTGAACTTTTCATTGTATTTTTTTTATTAATTATGTAATATGTATTAGTTTTTTTTTAATACCCTTTTTGTTTGTTGATATATATAGGCGTGCCGGGCCCATAAAGGGTGGGCATGTCATATTTTCGGGATAATTAGATATAATTGTAGTTCATAAATATATATATTGTATATTATAACACGTCACTTATAATCACGTGGTATTATTTTTTTATGTAATATTGTAGTTATATAATATGGATATTATTATTTTTATTATTAATTTTTTATATATAAGGAATTACTATTTTTTTACTTGTTGAATATTGGAAAATTAAGAATAAAATAAAGAAAACGATTGATATATTTTCAGCTTTGTTTTGTTTGGATTTTTGTAATTTTGTATAATTTTTGGACAGTTTGTTTTTAGAAGGTTTTTTTAGTTTCAGGAATTTGTTTAAGGTTGGTAGTTGTTTTAGTTTGTGTTTTTAGGGTTTTTTTAGTTCTTAATTTCTTACATAAAAAAATTCCTAATAATTTAAATAATAATCATATTATATAACTACAATATTACATAAAAAAAATACCACGTGATATAAGTGACGTGTTATAATATACAATATATATATTTATGAACTAAAATTATATCTAATTATCCCGAAAATAGGACAGGGTAAATCTCTGTTTTTTGAATCTAATTGACTTTTGTATTAATTATGTATTTTTATGCCATATTTTTACGTTGGAATTTTTAAATAAAGTACTTCACCTTTTTTAAAAATTAATTCAAATAAATCTTTTTTTTGTTTAAGATGGTAGATTTTGTCAACTTGAGATAAGGAATCTAAGGGGATTCAGGATATCTTAATTTTAAAACTCTTACCCTGAATTCGCGCGTTGCACAAATTCGCGGTAGGTGCCCACACTAGAGATCTACATTTGGCGGGTTTTTAGCCCTCCCATACTTCGGATCGGCGTAGTCGGATTTTTTAAAATATTTTCAACCTTGGGCGAGGGGCAGGCGGGTTAAAAAGATTTAAGTAATGGGCGAGCGTGGGCGGATGAATTTTTAATATATTTTTTTTGAAGGGGGAAATGAGCAGAACAGACTTCAATTTATTAAAAATGATAATTTTATTTCATAATGTTACATTATTGTACATGTTTAATTTAAAAATACATTTTAAAAAATAATGAATAGAGAGCCAAACTAGTCTTAAAATATTTTTTAAACAATAGACGGGCGAATGAATTAAGAAAATTTTTATAGATAAATGAACGGGCGGTCGGGTTAAAAAAATTCCCATACAACGAGTGGGAGTCTAAAAACTCGCTCATTGCAGACCTCTAGCCTACGCCGTGAGATTTCGACAATTTTGCCATGTAACATTTCAACTACCCTTTAATTTTTTCGAATTTTTGTATATATATTATTTTTTTTTCTCGAGGTGAGAATGGTCTGCTATTGATGAGATGATAGGTGGTACTCTATTACATTTAGAAGGACATGTCCTTTCAAATCGGATTTTTTTGGGGGGAATTTTTTAAATAGCAATCAGTAAGATATAAAAATGAGAGATTTAAAATTCCAAAATATATAGAAAGAAATAGAAGAAAACAAAATATATACTCACCAATGACATATAATGATACCTAGACTGACGATGCGTCCATAATAATACATCTGAAAGCGTAGTTGAATGCAAATCAGCTGGACCCGTTATTCTGGTAACCCATACGGTAATTATTCTCATGTTAACTAATATCAAATTGATAACTTGCTCCCTTATTATCCAGGCGATTCTCTAATAAAGCTTGCGTCAGACATGGGAATAAATCGGCGTCTCGTTTTAAAATGTAATCAAATAGGCGTCCCCAGCTGTTTTCGAATGCATCGTCAGTCTAGGAATCATTATATGTCGTTGATATTCACGAAACATTTTTAAAAAAATAAATAAAATGGACGAAATGAATAATAAAAAAAAGTTTTTTAGAAAATATCAAGAGTCATAATTTGTATTTAAAAATTACTAAATTGCAAAATAAAATGTATAAATATCAATGACATATAATACCTAGACTGACAATTCATTCATTAAAAGTGTACATCAATGCAAACCAGCTGGAGACGCCATCTTGGTTACACTAATCATTATTAAAATTTTAAACGAGAGCCTAATTTATTCCTATATCTGATGCAAACTTTATTAAAGAATTACCGGATCCTCGAGATAATAAGGAAGCAAGTTATCAAATTAATAGTAGTTTTTAACATGAGAATAATTACTATATGTGTTACCAAAATGGCGGGTTCAGCTGATTTGCTTTTAACGACGCTTAAAAATGCATTTTAATGAATGAATCGTCAGTCTAGGTATTATATATGTCATTGATAAATATTTGACCCAATATCGAATTATGTTATTTTAAAAAGACACCGCTGAGTTGTACGAAAATGAACACCACCTAGGCGAAGCGTTCGAAAAATTTCTGCCTCAGTTTAAATTGAAGAGGGAAGACATATTCATAACGTCCAAATTGGGTTTAAAAAAAATCAAATTATTATTTATTTTTTTTGTAAATATTAAAGGGCAAAACTAAATCCTTCAAAAGTTAACTACCCCTCCTCTCCCCCCCCCCTTTTATGGAAACATCCATTAAAAACCATAACTCTGGTTGTTAAACGGCTAACTCAATATTATATCCAGAAAAATATTGTGCAAGCTTAAAGATTTTGCTAAGTCTCGACGATTAGGCAAATATTTCCCTGGCTATAATGTTGAGTTAGCCATTTTTAAAAATCGGCTCGAGCCGTTTAACAACACTAATCAAAACCATTTAAATTTAATACCTAAGAAAAGGGTATTCCACATAGTAGCCACAGCTAGTGATGCAAAATTGGTCTATTTGAGCTGATTTTTAAAAGCGACTAGCTCATTTTATCCAGTAAAATATTACTCAATAGCCTGAAAATTTTGCTTTATATAGATGGCACAAAGGTCCCGACATCTATTAGCGAAATTTCGAAGCTTAGGCAATATTTTTTTTCTGGCTAAAATATTGAGTTAGCCATTTTTAAAAATGGGCTCAAGTAGCCACCGCATTAAACTAAGTTTAATTTAAAAAATAACCTTGCATTCGCGTTATTTAGGTTGGTTTTTTTTTATAACGAATATATATATATAACATTTAAGCCACCAACAACCAAGGGGCCGAGAAAGCTCCAAAGGCTATTCAAGAGACCCTGGATAACCTTAGAACTCCTTACCTGGACCTATTTCTAATTCACTGGCCCGGTGTTCAAGATCTTAATGAAGATGACCCTCAAAATAGGTTTAATTTTTTTTTTGTAACCTAAATTTTTTTTCAATTAGAACTTGTAAAATGAATTAATAAATGCAAATAACTATTAAATTTTGGCGGGAACGAAGTTTCGAAATGGAGAATCTGGACACCAGTTTAGAATAAAGACCAACAAAATCAAACTTTTTTTGGTCCTGCCACGGCAAATTGGCAATATTTTTTTTATCTAGTAAAATAAACATATTTTAAACACATGTTTAGTTAACCTAAAGATATATATAGAGAAAAAAAATGAATGGTTAAATGATAAATAAAAATTTCATAAGTACCAGGGTGGGGCATACCAATACAAGCCAAACTAATCCTCCAACTTCGTCGCGAATTCGCGCTGACCGTGAATTCAGGGTATTACGTTTTAAAACTGGCCAATAAAAACGCACGAAACTTTTACGATAATATAATTTGGGAGTTGACTGTTGAAAAACATTAACAATTTAAAAATCTCCCCTTTTTTATTTCCCTAAGAAATTTACTTGTATTTGTTAGATGTAAATGATTTGCAGGATCAATACATGAATGAATATATCTATTTAAAATACTTCATAATTAGATATATAATCACAAATTTTTCTTTAAAAAAATAAAGATTCTCGATATTTTTCTTCATTTTTTCGAAAATTACTTCATGTTGATTGCACTTTGTCAATCTAATTTTGACAGAGACATGTAAATTAAAAGGGGGAAAATAAAGGAAAGTGTTAATGGTGGGTATATATGATTTCATAAACTCTTCAAAAAAAATATTATAGAGAAATTCGCACCCAGAGCTGGAAATGCATGGAACAAGCCCATCTAAATGGCAAGTTAAGAGCAATCGGCGTTTCAAATTATACGGTTAAGCATCTAAATGAAATGTTGGACCCCAATAGCCCTTACCATTGTAAAGTTGTACCCGCCGTTAATCAGGTCGAATTCCATCCCTACTTGTACCAAAAAGAATTGCTGGAATATTGCAACCAGAAGGGGATACGGTTGGAAGCCTATTCCTCTCTGGGATCTCAAAAGAGCCAGGATCTACTGAAAGATGAAAAGGTGGCCCTGATAGCTAAAAATCATGGGAAATCAGTTGCTCAGGTGAGATATCAGCCGTTTAACAACACTACTTTAAAAAATAATTTATCAAACAAAGATATTTTAAGGAATAGAAAGTATAGGCTAATGAAATGAGCCTTATGTTTTGGATCGGTTTTATAATAATTTTCTCCCTATCCGATTCAGAGCAAATTTTTTTTATACACCCAGTTTTAATGCTGTTATCATATTCCAAGATGTTTATGCGAAAAAAAAAATTAGCTGCCAATCTGGGTGCCAATTATAAAATACACATATTTATTTTTAAATTATTTAAAATATCGGCAAAAAAAAACCCCCTATTTGTATTGAATGATTATATCAAAATTTATGAAATTTTAGGTTCTACTAAGGTGGGCCGTTCAACACGAAATTATAATCATACCCAAGTCTTCTAAAGCTGACAGAGTCAAGGATAATATCAAGATATTCGATTTCGAATTGAGTAGCCAAGATATGGAAACTTTAGACGGGTTGAACAAAAATTTGAGATATAGTTGGGATCCTAGCAAAGTGTTCTGATTTTTTTTTTCATTTTGTTTGATACATATATCAAATTAATCATGTTTTTCTTTAGCTTAATTTTTTTTCAAAATATTTATTTAAAAAATTATATATTTTTAAATAGTATAATACCAGTGTATAAATATACTTATAACGTTGAAACCGGTAAGAATAAACTTATAGAATATTATTAATAATTTAATTTAACTATATTCTTCAATAATAGACATGTTTTCACGACGAACTTTTGAATGTTTAAAATAAATTTATTAAACCTATGGTTCCTTTTTGGGAACTCGAAGTCGCTTGAAAAATATTTGATCGTTATTCTATTTAAATGACTAACTGTAATTTAAAATGAGAAATTTAATAAAAAAACAATGGTTGAAATTATTAAGATTTTTGGGATTGAAATCACAACCATGAAAGTGGGAAAACGTTATAAGCAGATTTATATGCCTTGGTCTTATTTTTTTTTCCACCCTTAAATCATAGATAATTTTATTGGACAAAATTTTTAATAATGAATTATTAAAATTGTTAACTTAGTAGTCCAATTTTTTTATATAAGAAAAAATGAATCTTTTATTTAGATTTTTTTTATGTATTATTCTCCCATTAAAGAGTCAGCTTAAAAATAGAATTTATAACCAATTAGTAGAAAATTACGCCTTCTTTTGATTCCAAATTATGCTTAATATTTTTACACAAACCTTTTTTTCTTCTTATAAATACCATATTAGAACATTTTTAAAAATTTTTACATCGCAAATTAATTAATTATTTTTTTATTGCATAATAATTTACTGCCAATATATTATTCTAAAAATTAGCCAATTTTTGTTCATAAATTATGAAATATATAAATAAAATATATTATTTCAATATATATATATATATATTTATGAGGCCAATAAAATTAGAAAATATTATTTTTATGAAGTGTTTGTTTTGTATCTAATGGATTATTTTTTTAAAATCAAAATTATTATGGAATATTGTCACGTTTTACCAAACTGAGGGCATAATTTAATTATTTTTATATAAATTTGTCAAAATGTAACCTTGAATTCATAGTGGCGCGATTGCAATCGCGATTTAACAGCTGATTGATTTTTAAAATCTGTTTATGAGATCAATTTTTATTTATCAATATTAATTTTACCTTTAATTCAAATTTTAATAATAATCTAAGAAATAATGATTTTAATAAAGAATAATTGATCTCATAAACAGATTTTAAAAATCAATCAGCTGTTAAATCGCGATCGCAATCGCGCCACTATGAATTCAAGGTAAAGGATTATAAACAGAGCTTGGGAACGTTAACTAAAAATGGTTTCCGGTTTTGAATATTTAAAAAAAAGAAGGTATTTCCTATTGGAGGCAATACCTTTACTCAATTATAACAAGACACTAGAAATAAATTACATCTGCATAAATTTTTCATCGGTAAAATTTGGTCAATAACTTATTTCGTTATTTCTCATGCGGGGGATAATTTTGTATAAATTTTATTTTGAAGTAGTAAGAATAGTATTATTTTTTATAAAGTAACGCAGCATAAAGATTATATTAAATGCGCCAAAAAATATATGAAATGTATCGATAAAAAAAATATTGAACAGGTATCAGATTTTTTGTCAAATGTAAAATCTCTCCGCAGTAACCCCAATCAGGAGACCCCGAACCTTTATTTATAACCGTTCCGTTTGGTTACTGAAAAATTTTATAAAGGTTTGGCTCGGTTCATCTAATTGTAAAGGTTTATAAAGCTTCATCGGTTATAAAAGAAAAATATAAAATTATTTTTATTGAAGCAACCCAATCGTATACGATTTTAATTATAAATATTATTATTTATTAAAGTTTTTCGGGAATCCAAACCGAAACCGAACCGTAAAACCGCTAAAAACCGGTATTTTTTATCAAACCTGACACCGAATCTAAACCGCAAAATTCTAGCCGAACCTGAACCGAACCGCTAAAATCCTTCTGAACCGGTTAGAGCCTCATGATTTTATGCTTATAATATAATATGTAAGGTCCGTGAAGTTGGCCCCACAATTTTTGATTATCAATGGTTTATCAGTTGGTGTGATTAGTACCCGATTTGTACCGTTTTCAGTTCGATTTGTACCATCACCGTTTTTGAGATATTCAAAGAACAAAATGGGGGGCCAACTTCACGACAGCCCCACAACTTTTGAACTTAAAAATAAAAAGTGAATAGGTCGATAGAGAATGATTTGTACCGTTTTCAGTTCGATTTGTTCCATCACCGTTTTCCAGCTATTGACCGTTGAAAATATGGCGCCAAAAATAAAAAACACTTAAAATTTTTTTTAACTTACAACGATAGAGAATTTTTTTCTCTTCCTAATGATGCCTCAAATTAAGCTTTATCTTCATTATTTATTTCGGAAATCAAATTTTAAACCTTATATTATAACGTGAAGTTAGCCCCCCCCCCCAGATATTGAAAATTTGAGATTTTTCAAATTTTTAAAACGGGATTGATTTGTACCCGATTTGTACCGTTTCAAACTCGATTTGTACTATTATCGTTTTCCAGCTATTGACCTTTAAAAATATGGCGCCAAAAATAAAAAATTTTGGTATCGGACCCATCCGTTTGACTTTGTTTTGTCATTATACCATTTCGCGTCAATTTTTCGAAAAATTTCATCTAATTTTCAATACAAAGGTAAATAATAAATATTCACATACATATTTTATATAATTTTCAAAGCTTCCAATGATATAAAATTTTCAATACAAAAAGGTAAATATTTTGATTACAACTTATTTTGTTACACTTTTGAAAAATTTGATATAATTTTCAATACAAAGGTAAATAATAAATATTCACATATATATTTTATATAATTTTCAAAGCTTCCAAAAATTTAATATAAAATTTTCAATACAAAAAGGTAAATATTTTGATTACAACTTATTTTGTTACACTTTTCTTTAAATTAGGTAGCATAGTCATTTACTCCACTCTGTAAATGATACCTTCCTCATATAGAAGGTCAAAATATTATAAAAACAAAATATATTTTAACTGTAATTCACCCACCTGCAATGGAAAAGGTTATACATTAAATAAATAACTTATTTACTTTGACCACAGCATGCAATGGTAAATTATTTAATATACAATATGTGATTTATTGTTTTCTAGATGTTTGCAAATATTTGACTGCAAGAAGAGAAAGTATTTTACAAAATAACATAAAATATTATACTTTAAATTTTTTTAAAATAATTAATCAAAATTTTGTTAATATATTATCTTTTAAATTTTATTAAAAATAGTTCATCTAAATTGTGATATTATATTATCCTTTAACTTTATTATAAATAACAAATTTTTTTAAAATAAATTTTTCCTTAATATCTGGCAATCAGGCTGGTGATGGAGACAGAAATTTTAGATATCTGGGGTCTTTTTGGAAGAAGATCAAGAACCCGTTTCTTCCAATCTCAATCAAGAGCAAGAGGCTGGGAAGAGTGTTGGAGGAAGTATTTTACAAAATAACATAAAATATTATACTTTAAATTTTTTTAAAATAATTAATCAGAATTTTGTTAATATATTATCTTTTAAATTTTATTAAAAATAGTTCATCTAAATTGTGATATAATATTATCCTTTAACTTTATTATAAATAACAAATTTTTTTTAAATAAATTTTTCCTTAAGTATCTGGCAATCAGGCTGGTGATGGAGATAGAAATGTGGTGATATCTGGGGTCTTTTTGGAAGAAGTTCAAGATCCTTTAACTCAAATCATAGAACTACCTCTACATTTCCCATTCTTAGATGAAAGTTTTATAGATGAAGAAGATGTAGTAGATACCTCCATTGCAGCTAATAGCTCTGATACTTTTCCAGTAATAGTTAATAGCATTCAATCTTCATTCTTAAATATCGAACAACCATATAATTTTATTCTTTCCCAAAAAAATCGTAATTTATTATATTCCAATAAATATTTATATATACATTATAAATTTGGGTTTTTATTTAAATGTAGACTAAAGCATTGTACCGCTAGAGGTACTTTGTTAAATAGGAAGTTTACATTAACCAATTTTCACAACCATTCTGATGAATCTGAGGAAGAGCATTATGCAATTTTAGTAACTATGAATAAACTTAAAGAACAAATTCGAGCATACCCCTATCAAAGCAAACGTAAAACATATAATCAAGTTATGCGTATTAGAAAAATGGATCCACTCGTTCAACTCCATCCTAATGCTCTACCAACATTTCTATCTGTGAAAAGTATTATGAATCGTGTTATTAGATCATTGAGACCTCCTTTACCTCTTATAAATTCTGATATCCGATTAGACGGCGATTATACGTTAACACTAGATAATAAAATATTTTTAATTTGTAATGAAAATAATGAATTATTAATATCTACACATGAATTACTTGGATGCCTCTGTAATGCTGACCAAATTTTGATGGACGGTACATTTTTTTCGTGTCCATTATTATTTAAGCAATTATACACTATTCATTTAATGATTAATCATACAATAATTCCATGCTCATATATATTGTTACCAAATAAAAACAAAGAAACATATTTAAAAATGTTGGATCTTTTAAAAATTTATTGCCTATCTATAGGTTTTTTATTTTCTCCTTCTAAAGCACTTATAGATTTTGAAATGGGAGCACTTATAGCTCTCGAAGAAATGTTTACAACCATTTCTGTCAAGGGATGCTACTTTCATTATTGCCAATGTATTTTAAGACATATATAGGGTAATAGATCGACAGCATTTAGTCGGCTTAATCCTGATTTTAAGAGATTTTATCACAGACTCATGGCGATACCCTTTTTAAATGAAACGGACATACCATTGGTATTGTCTGAATTAAATAGTGAGGTAGAGGCCTTTAATTAAGATCCCATAAGAGATCTTTTACATATTTTAAAAATACTTGGATTAACCCAAACGCAAAATTTAAATATAAGATGTGGAATATGTATGATGTTCAAGGAGTAAGAACAAATAACCATGTTGAAGGATTTCATCGTTCTCTAAAAGAGTATATAACATATTCTCATCTTAATTTATATCTTTTTATTGATATATTAAAACAAATACAACAAGATATGGATATCAAATTCATTCAATTGCGTAATGGGAAAAAAGTTACTGAAAGGAAAAAAAAAATGCTGTCAATCTATTACCCTGTATACGTCTTGAAATACATTGGCATTAATGAAAGTAGCATCCCTTGACAGAAATGGTTGGAAACATTTCTTCGAGAGCTCTAAGTGCTCCCATATTCAAAATCTATAAGTGCTTTAGGAGGAGAAGATAAAAAACCTATAGATAGGCAATAATTTTTTAAAAGTTCCAACATTTTTAAATATGTTTCTTTGTTTTTATTTGGCAACAATATATATGCGCAAGGAATTATTGTATGATTAATCATAATGAATAGTATATAATTGCTTAAATAATAATGGACACGAAAAAAATGTACCGTCCATCAAAATTTGGTCAGCATTACAGAGGCATTCAAGTAATTCGTGTGTAGAAAATATTAATAATTCATTATTTTCATTACAAATTAAAAATGTTTTATTATCTAGTGTTAACGTATAATCACCGTCTAATCGGATATCAGAATTTATAAGAGGTAAAGGAGGTCTCAATGATTTAATATCACGATTCATAATACTTTTCTCAGATAGAAATGTTGGTAGAGCATTAGGATGGAATTTTTCTAATACGCATAACTTGATTATATGTTTTACGTTTGCTTTGATAGGGGTATGCTCGAATTTGTTCTTTAAGTTTATTCATAGTTACTAAAATTGCAAAATGCTCTTCCTCAGATTCATCAGAATGGTTGTGAAAATTGGTTAATGTAAACTTCCTATTTAACAAAGTACCTCTAGCGGTACAATGCTTTAGTCTACATTTAAATAAAAACCCAAATTTATAATGTATATATAAATATTTATTGGAATATAATAAATTACGATTTTTTTGGGAAAGAATAAAATTATATGGTTGTTCGATATTTAAGAATGAAGATTGAATGCTATTAACTATTACTGGAAAAGTATCAGAGCTATTAGCTGCAATGGAAGTATCTACTACATCTTCTTCATCTATAAAACTTTCATCTAAGAATGGGAAATGTAGAGGTAGTTCTATGATTTGAGTTAAAGGATCTTGAACTTCTTCCAAAAAGACCCCAGATATCACCACATTTCTGTTTCCATCACCAGCCTGATTACCAGATACTTAAGGAAAAATTTATTTAAAAAAAATTTGTTATTTATAATAAAGTTAAAGGATAATATTATATCACAATATAGATGAACTATTTTTAATAAAATTTAAAAGATACTATATTAACAAAATTTTGATTAATTATTTTAAAAAAATTTAAAGTATAATATTTTATGTTATTTTGTAAAATACTTCCTCCAACACTCTCCCCAGCCTCTTGCACTTGATTGAGATTGGAAGAAACGGGTTCTTGATCTTTTTCCAAAAAGACCCCAGATATCACCACATTTCTGTCTCCATCACCAGCCTGATTGCCAGATACTTAAGGTTAAATTTATTTAAAAAAAATTTGTTATTTATAATAAAGTTAAAGGATAATATTATATCACAATTTAGATGAACTATTTTTAATAAAATTAAATCGCAATCAGTAAAGGATTTAAAAATGAGAGATTTCTAATCCCAAGATACATAAGAAAGAAAGAGAGAAAAAGAAATACACCCACACACCTTTTTAAAAAAAAATTAAATAGATTTTTAAAAAACATTATTAACGAATAATAAAGAAAGTTATGGAAATTTTTTTTTGTTAGAAAATATCAAGAATCATAATTTGTATTTAAAACTACTAAATTACACAATGAAATGGATTTGACCAAATATCGAATTATGTTATTTCGAAAAGACACTGCGGAAGTGTACTAAAATGAGCACCATCTAGGCGAAGCGTTCGAAAAATTTCTGCCTCAGTTTAAATTGAAGAGGGAAGACATATTCATAACGTCCAAATTGGGTTTAAAAAAAACAAATTATTATTTATTTTTAGTAAATATTAAAGGACAACTAAATCATTCAAAAGTTAACAACCCCCCTCCCCCCTCTTCCTTTATGGAAACATGCTTTATAAACCAAAACCATTCAAATTTAATACCTTAAAAAAAAGGTATTCCACATAGTATAGCCACCGCTAGTGATGCATTGAGCTGATTTTTAAAAACGATTAGCTCAGTACTTTATCCAGTAAGATATTACACAAGCCTGAAAATTTTTGATTATAGATGGCACAAAGGTCCGGACATCTATTAGCGAAATTTCGAAGATTAGGTATTATTTTTTTTTTCTGGCTAAAATATTGAGTTATCCGTTTTATTAAAAATCGGCCCAAATAAAGCGATTTTACATCACTAGCCAACGCATTTAAACTAAGTTTAATTTAAAAATGCCCTTGCATTCGAGTTTTTTAGTCTGGTGTTTTTTTTAAATATCGAATATATATAACATTTAAGCCATGAACAGCCAAGGGACCGAGAAAGCTCCAAAGGCTATTCAAGAGACCCTTGATAAACTTAGAACTCCTTACCTGGACTTATTTCTCAATCACTGGCCCGGTGTTCTATATCTTAATGAAGATGACCCTCAAAATAGGTAAATTTTTTATTTTTTAACCTAAATTTTTTTAAAAATTAGAACTGTAAAATGAATTAATAAATGCATATGCTAGTAAATTTTAGCGGGAACGAAGTTAGGAAATGGAGAATTTGGAGACCAACTTGGAATAGATATAAAAAAAAAGAAAATTATGATTCAGTGATTAACAAAATTTTTATACGAATTTTTATAATGGTCGCAAGAACAAAACGCAAAAATTGTTACAAACTTAATATTCAATATACAACCCAATTTAGCCATAGAAATTCTAATTAATTTTTTTTTTTAAAAAGTAAAAATAATAAGTAAATTACCAGGGTGGGGCATACGAATACAAACACCAAAGCCAAACTACTCCTCCAACTTGTTCGCGAATTCGCGCTGACAGTGAATGCAGGGTATTGCGTTTTAAAACTACCAATAAAAACGCACGAAACTTTTACGATAACATAATATGGGAGATGGCTGTTGAAAAAACATTAACAATTTGTAAAATCTCCCCGTTTTTATTTCCCAAGGAAATTTCTTCTAATCAAAATTTACCCAAGAAAAATTTACATGTATTTGTTAGATGTAACTGATTTGCAGGATCAAGAAATGAATCTATACATCTATCTATATATTAAATATGTAATCACAAAATTTAAAAAAAAATCATTATTCAAATTTTTTATTAAAAGTAATGTTTTTCGATATTGTCCTTCACCTTTTCGTCACTTTCGTAATGATTGTACTATGTCAATATAATTTATGATAATTCTTAACTGGCAACATTATTTATAGACAGAAACATGTAAATTAAAGGGATTTCATAAACTCTTCAAAAAAATATTATAGAGAACTTCGCACAAAGAGCTGGAAATGCATGGAACAAGCCCATCTAAATGGCAAGTTAAAAGCGATAGGCGTTTCAAATTATACGGTTAAGCATCTAAATGAAATGTTGGACACTAATAGCTCTTTCCATTGTAAGGTCTTACCCGCCGTTAATCAGGTCGAATTCCGTCCCTACTTGTACCAAGAAGAATTGCTGGAATATTACAACCAGAAGGGGATACGTTTGGAAGCCTATTCCTCTCTGGGATCCCAAAAGAGCCAAAATCTATTGAAAGATGAAAAAGTGGCCCTGATATCTAAAAACCACGGGAAATCGGTTGCTCAGGTGAAATATAAAAGCTTCTTTTTTTATTAATCCAACATTAGAAAAACAATTTAAGGGTATTTTCCGACGACAAATATTTTAGTAATATATCGTTTCCTGGCTAAAAAATTGAATCAAATCCACCCGTTTAACAACACTACTTTTAAAAATAATTTATCAAACTGTTATCGATATTCCAAGATGTTTGTGCCAAAAAAAAAATTAGCTGCCAATCTGGGTGCCAATTCTAAAATACACACATATTTATAAATAAATCATTTTAAATATCGGCAAAAACATCGAAACACAAGCTCCCTAATTCTATTTGTATTGGATGATTGTAATTATATCAAATTATTGAAAGCGCTTATTAATTTATTATTGATAAATTTATGAAATATAAGGTTTTACTCAGGTGGGCCATTCAACACGAAATTATAATCATACCCAAGTCTTCTAAAGCTGACAGAGTCAAGGATAATATCAAGATATTCGATTTCGAATTGAGTAGCCAAGATATGAAAACTTTGGACGGGTTGAACAAAAATTTGAGATATAGTTGGGATCCTAACAATGTGTTCTGATTTTTTTTTTATCTTGTTTGATAAATCAAATTAATCATGTTTTTTTTAAAAAAAAAATTTATAAAAATTCTACATTTTTTTTAAATAGTATAAATACTAGGTGTATGAATAAGCTTATAACGTTGAAACCGGTAAGAATAAACTTATAGATTATTATTAATAATTTAATTTAACTTTTCAGAACCAACTTTTTGAATGCTTAAAATAACTTTATTATACCCATGGTTCCTTTTTGGGAACTTGAAGTCGACTTAAAAAATATTTGATCGTTATTTCTATTTAATTGACTAACGTAATTTAGAATGAGAAATCCAATTAAAAAAATATGATAAAATTATTAAGATTTTTGAGATTTGAAATCACAACTCTAAAAAGTGGGAAAACGTTATAAGTAGATTTATATGCTTAATCTTATTTTTTTTCCACCCTTAAAACATAGATAATTATATTTGACAAAATTTTTAATAATGAATATTAGAATTGTTAACTTAAGTCCAATTTTTTTATATATATTCCAGATAAATATTTATTCTAAAATATTTAAATGAATTTTTATGTAAATTTTTTTTTGTATTATTCACCCATCAAAATAGACTGCTTAAAAATAGAAAAAATTATTTAATAAATTTGCAACCAATTACTTTGATTCCAAATTATGCTTAATATTTTTACACTAACCCTTTTTTTTTCCTCATAAATACTAAATTAGAACAATTTTTTTAAAAAATTTTTACATCGCAAATTAATCAATTGCATATAATTTCCTGCCCAATATATTATTCTAAAAATTAGCCATTTTTTGTTCAAATTATGAAATATATTTAGAGGCCAATAAAATTTTTTAGAAAATATTATATTTATTTTCCTTTGCATATTTGAAGTGTTTGTTTTGTATCTAATGAATTTTTTTTAAAAAATCAAAATTATTATGAAATATTGTCACTCTATACCAAACTGAGGGGCATAATTTAATTTATTATTATATAAATTTGTCAAAATATAAAGGATTATAAACACTGTTTGGGAACGTGGACTAAAAAATCGTTTCCGATTTTGAATATTTTTTAAAAAAAAGAAAGTATTTTCCTATTGAAGGCTATACTTTTACTCAATGATAACATGACACTAGAAATAAATTACATCTGGGTAGATTTTTCTCGGTAAAATTTAGTCAAAACTTATTTGGTTATTTCTCAAGTGGGGATAATATTGTATTGATTTTTATTTTAAAAAGTAGTAAAGAAGATATTTTTTATAACGTAACGCAGCATAAAGATCATATTAATGATGCACCTGAAAATGACATAACAATACTAATGCTTTCTAATATACTCAAACAAATTCTATAAAAGAAATATATATAGTTAAAACCTTATAATTTGGTCATTTTATTTATATGGGAATAATGACTCTTCTGTAAGACTACCCAATAGATAGGTACTATATTTTACTCAAATTAATTAAAATAAATGCAACAAAATCTAAAATATAAAAATTAGTTTTTTCTTACATATTTCGCACACTAAAATAGACAAAATCTTTTGGAAAAATGTTATATCTTACAATTTATATTTATTATACGATTTAAATAAAATACAAAAAAAAAATTCCATAAATATATAAAGTATTTAATGTTAAAATCATTATAAACATAGACTTATTAAAATATAAGTTGCTATTTTGAAATTTTGAGTTAGTATATGTTCATGGTCAAAATTAGAGTTGTTAAACGGCTCAGCCGATTTTTAAAAACGGCTAACTCAATATTTCAACCAGAAAAATATTACGCAAGCCTGAAGATTTTGCTCATAGAAGAAACAAAGGTCTACTCATATATTATCGAAATCTGGAGGCTCTGACAATATTTTTCTGGGTAAAATACTGAGTTAGACGTTTTAAAAAATCGACTCTAAACGAGCCGTGTAACAACACTAGTTAAAATATAATAAGATTTATTTTATAATCGTAGTCACGTGGCCGAGTCCGACCGACTATATATAAATTATCGCCCAAGTATAGAACCCCCAAGTTGGCTTGAGAAATAAAACAACCCTTACTGTATAAGAATTCAAGTCTATTGGATTTGGGATCAACGCCCACATCCACTAGGCCACTGACGATATACTAACACCTCCAATTTTTTAATATTATTTATATAAATATAAACATGGCATTTCTAAAGTACTTGGCATTTTATAAAAATCCTGTATTATTAGTCATATATTTCTATCACAATTTTGGAAATCGCTGAACTGGAAATTTTTAATTGAAGAAAATTCTTAATTTGAATGAAATAAAATTAAACATATGGGTTAGTGTTTATTTAAAGGTTTGAGATAGGCTGGTTTTCCTTTTTATTGACAACTCAAAATAAAAAGGTTATGTGATTATAAATAGGCCAATATAAATGTAAATAAATCATCTGTTGTAGCAGCAATTTCGTTGAGTTGAACTATAATTCCTGATTTTGTGTCAAATATAAGCTCTCCACTGCTATTTTTAATGTATGATTATGGATAAAAAAAAGCAGAATTAAAATACTTAATGAGTAAAAAGGTTAAAATTTAATAAATTTAAATAAAATGTAAAAATTAAACAATCATACTTTGATATGTTTAAGAAAAAAATTTTTTTTTATAATAGATGTTGGTCAAAATACACGTGGGCAAATTTTACCTCTCTTGGGTTTGTAAATCAACCCTTATAAGATGAACAACGGTAGTCAAGGCGTGAATTGTTTTTAACGCCAGCGTAAATGGCGGGATTTTCTAAATAAAAATAACGCCTCATTTATAGTAAACGCTATTTGTTTAAGGTGCGGTATTTTATCAGTGCATTGTTTACAAAATCAAGCATTAAATAGGTATAATTAATAAATAAGAAACTTAACAATGAAATGCTTTGATAAAATTTTATAAACATGTGCCGTGACGTACATTTCAAAAATTATCATCGCTGTGAAGAATCAGTTGGGGATAGCGTTAAATACCGCATCGCTTGAACATAATGTGTTTACTATAAATGAAATGAGAAGTAATGTATGTTAAATTCTTCATTTTATTATCTTAAGTGATTAAGCATGAAAAAAACTAATTAGAAGAGATGATTTGCGAAATTTCATTTTCTACCAGTGTTTGGTAAAAACTTTGAGACAGCAGGATCAACCCGAGACTAATTTAATGACAACTCATCCTGGGTGTAAGGCTAGGGCGGGTTCGGACCTCTTTTAGAAAATCGATAATACCTAATTCCTAAAGGGTTAACTTATTGGATGCACCCCTGGGAAGATTAGTGCTGTTATAGGCCCAGAACAGCCTGATGAAGATTTTTGTTAAAATAATTATATAAGCATCAATATGTGGCAAATAGATGTCCAAGTCCAGCTATGAGAAAAGCCAAGCTTACATAAAGTAATCATAATCGGGCCGTTTTTTAAAATCGACCAGGAGAGATACTTACTTAATATTTTATATGCGGCATATACAGTAAATTTTTATTTAAAGTAATAAATTCATATATAAAATGTTAATACTTATAAAATAAAATTTTTTAGATCTATACAATAGAATTTAAGTATATTAAACTAATTGAATGAACAAAATTATAAAAAAATAACAAATTTATATTCTGTAAATGGATTTTGAGGCGGTGCAATAATCCGGAGACCAAAATACGTGATAAGGAGAAGACGCTATAGCATATACTTGTTCCAGATTCACTTTTTTTGTGAAAGCAAACACAAATATTTCGATATCTAATATAATCAGTTAATAATTTAAACGTGCAAATATAATAGATTTTACCATATTCTTTTAATAGCTTGGCAGTTTTTTCGGGGTAACCTACAGATGCATCCGAAATGAAAACTAATAATTGTTTTAGCGGATATGATCTTTTAGAAGTTTCAAAAAGTTCGTGAGCCAAGTGCAAAGCTTTATCTACATTTAGATAGTAACCTGTACCAAATTTTTTTATATAATAATTGAATACATTTAAGTTATCGATTTAATACCTGATGCATTGAAAATGGGTGTAGGTAAATTGCTTAATATCGTTGAAAATGCTTTTGCGCTATTAAAGGGTAAATGAACATCGGCATCTTTGTAATAAGTAATAGTTGCCGCATTAGATCCATTAATTCCAATAGGATTGTTTCCAGTTTCAAAAAATAATGTACCCTATACATTAATAAAAATTAATTTGAATATATTTGGTGGTTAATAATTTTGGTAATTTTATATTATATAAATAACGTTAGTATAAATTATGTTTTACAAATATGACTGAAATCGAACAATCATATTCCTTAGGAGATGAGTATGCCAATTCTATAAGAGCGATGATATCAATAGGCTTATTTTTAGCTCCAACAGCTTTCTTGTACAAATCCAGGTCAAACTTAGGAACTTTAAAAAAATTATGTATATTATTCTAAATAGATAAATTATATACATTCAAGTGGTTTTATATATGGCTTGTTGATACCGTATCCGCCATGTAATGTATCCAAGTAGCAAAGTGCAAGAAGACCTATAAACGTGTTTCTCAACATTTCCGAATAGTTAATGTTATATTAAAGTTCAAAAATATAAAAAGTGTTTAGTATATTTTTATATAAAAAATTTTATTTTATTAACTTGTAATTAATATTCAAATTGACTTAAATTTAGTTTAAAAAAATTTTTAAAAAATTAATAATAATTAATTTGAATATTTGGTATTTTCATTATTTTTTCAACTATTTGCAAGAAAATTTTATTTTGTGAAAATCAAAAAAAAAACCTTCATTTCAAACCATATTCATCAAATATTATATCTTTTTTATAAAAAATCATATTATTAAACTAATTAAACAAGATGTATTCAAATTTATAAAAATTGATTCTTTCAAAAATAAAAGTTATCTGCAAGATAAATCAAAAAGTGATATTATAATTTGTAAAACGCATCTCTTAACTTTTGTTATTTTAGATCAGTTATAATTTTTTATCAAATTTTGATTCCTTAAAATAACTCTTAATGGCAAAGATTAACCAACCATTAAGCTGCAATCCAATCTGATCTTTTCTAATATGAAATATAGTATTTAAATTTATAAAATTATTTTAAATATTTGTCACCAATATTCTTGTTTCTTTTTTTAAAAAAAAATCGAAATTGAAATTTAAGTAATTACTTGCCTCAAACGTCTATAAATGTCATTAACGATAATATCTTCAACATTTTCTAGAATATATAATAAATAGTAAGCAGAAAATAATTCCCTGGAAAAAAAATCCA